AAGATGTATACACATATAATATATTATTAATATCTTAATAATATCTGAAAAAATATATAAATAAAATAAAAAAAAAAATAGAAATAGGAAAGCAATATATCTTTCAAGAATAATAAAGATAATTGACAGTACGAGAAATAGATGATATATAATTATTTAACGATCCGTTGTGTTCATTGGCATCCAAGAGAAAGGACAGCCACCACCAGTTTGTAAAACTCTTCCTTATGGCATACACATATGCATAGACATCTAATAAAGATATTTAATTTATGTATACATAGAGAGACCGGTGTCTGCTTATGGAGTTAGCCTTGACAAGTCAAGGGACACGAAGGATTCGTCGAGTAACTGCATCGTTTATAATACCGATTCAAACAAACACTCACTCACTCACTCACTCAGTAACTCACTCCCGGATGCAGAATGATCTTCTGATCAAGAACACATTACATTACGTACGGTAAATCCGTCCTGTTAACCTTCGATATGACGAATGGAAATATCTTTGTCGAAAAATATCAATCAACATTGTTTCAAACAATCAAATAATAATATTTAATCGATTCAAAACAATTGTGTATATTAATTACAACACGAGTTGATTCGAAATTCAGTCTATTAATAAAAAAAAAGTAGTCGAGTGCAATATAAAATCAGACGAAAGTTTGCTTAAAGGATGCGTCGTGTTAAATACAATACAATGTGTCCGATTTTAATCGATTTGAACTACTTACACGACACCTATCCACACATTGATCAGATTTAAACAAAATACAAATGAATTATACCAAAAAAAAAAAAACAGAATGAAGAAAGAATGTATTACAAATGAAGTATACCAAAAAGAAAAAAAAAAACACAGAATGAAGTAAGATTTGTATTTGTTCGACGCATAAAACATGAACTATAGATATGCTTGCACGTTAGACGGGACAATGGAAGAAACAATGATCTCTCGTAGAAGAATGATCTCTCTCGAAAGCATGTTGAAGTAATTAATCCGCAGGTAGTATTATATACACGAGGTCGAAATGAACTCAGTAAACCTTTCTCTCTCTCTTTCTTTCTTTCTGAGATCAAGATAATCATAATATCTTAGCAACTCGTCCAACCCACGCGATTGGAATACAAGAAAAATAATCAAATCAAATAAAATACAAAAAATAAATAAAGTAAGATATGGCAGCAACAGTGTTTAGTTAACGGTATCAGAGTAAAACTAAGATGAAGGAGAGTGCATTTAATCCCCGGAAGTCATAAGTGCATTGATTTACCATTGTCACGGCCGTTACTCTCTCGTCAGGTAAAAAAATGGACAATCAAGGTGTTCGGTTCTTGATTTAACTTAGGAGGGAGGTGATCGGGGTGGATTTGCAGAACAATAATGCGGCAGAACCGGTGACCGCACCTGCAATTCACAGTTTAAATAGTTATATTTGTTATTTGTATTCTCTTCTTTCCCTACGGGTTTATCTGTCTCGTGCAGGCCAAGTATGTACGCGGAAAAGAAACGTCGCAAGCTCGGCCAACTGCCAGACTATATTTACCTTAACGTGCCGGTTACACCTGTAAAGACTTTAACTATCAAACGTATTTGTCGTCTTGTTCTGATAGATTGATAGATTGATACAATTATAAAAGAATTATTTTCATTTTGTGATATTACAGATGACACCTAAACTATGACCGATGGATTTTTATGCAATTTTTCCCTTAGATCCCGCCCCGTCCCCCCTGTTACCCCATTTATAAATCAGATTCACTTTCGTATACGTTCATTCGCACTACACGTGACCAATTTGTATAATCGAATAAATATTGTATCAGAATATTATAATAAACGTACGATTATAATTATTGTGATTAATTGAAATTATTGAATATGTCATATGATTGTAAAGTTTCTAATGAATTATATATATGAGAAAGCATATAATATAATTTTATACAGAAACTTTTTGAAAATTGTAAACACTTGCAAAAGAAGTGTGATATGTATTTTGTTTATAATAATCCATTTTATTTTCGTTATAATAATACATTTTATTAAACTACACGTCACGTTATTTGCCAATAAAAATATAAATTCGCGTAATTCATCTAAAAAAATAAATCTCAATTGGAAAAGAAAATTTAGGTGTTTGTCTTTTTTTTTTTTTTCAAAAACCATAAACTTAATCGTACAACATTACACTCGTGATCACGTTTATTCATTCGCGAATGAAAGAAACATTTCTGTAATAATTAAGAAAAGCATAAAAGAGAATGCATCATAAATAAAAATAAAATTCTAGAAAAGCTCGAAGAAAACGAAAGATTATTTTTTCTTCGTAAGAGATTAATTTATCCTTGAAATTCGATCGTCCGATCCTTCGTTTCTTCGTTGGAGGACGATCGACAATATAATTTGCGATTACCATTACCATCATAACCAACAACCATCACCACCACCATCACCATAAGCGTAACCACCTGCGGCAACCATCATCAGCGATCATAGACAATTGTTTTTCATTATACTTTTCTACATTTTTTTTTTTATGTATTCTTTTATACAACAATCAAGAAGCTCGCATATCAAAATGTCTGACGTCACTTAATTCGCGGGGTGGTTTTTTTTTTGTTTTTTTTTCTGAAGAACTTACACTTGTTCCAATGATCATGACGTTGTTGATGCGCGTGATGATGCTGCTCGAGGTTCCTATGGTGGTCATGATTGTTGTTGGTGTCGGCAGCTATGGTGACCTGATGTTGTTGATGATGGTAAGGTAAACTCGTTGGCAAATGAATGGTCGTGGTGGTTGTGGTGGTGGTCGTCGTCGTCGATCTTTCACATTGCTGTTGCTGCTGTTGTTGCTGATGTTGCTGATGTTGCTGATGCTGATGATGTTCATTGTTTTCGATACGATCGTGATCGACGACGACGACAACGTGGTGTTGTCGACCAATAGGTGCAAGACGTTGCTGAATTGTTGCTGCCGGACCCCCACCTGCCGTTCCTTCGGTCCCCGTATCCTCGGTTATGGTACGCATCTCCCATAAAATAATACGATCTTTTCTTTTTTCATTCACCGATATCTAATTCACCGTTCAAATTCACCACCGTTTTCACCGTAATAAATAACAACATTTGGGATAATTTTATTGTTGTGACAGTTTGCTTACTATTACAACAACAACAAGAACAGCAACAATAACAACAGGAGGCACGAGTCTCATCTCCACTAAACGCGCACGTTTAAATGCGCGTGACGTTAATACCACGTGCGTTACCCTGTTCGATTATTATTACGAAATAACCAACACACCGCACGAACCTGAACCGTGTCAAGAACAAAATCTAACTAACGATAAAATGTTACTATGATTTAACGAGGACAACAAATTTTCACGTAATTTCGTTTTTTGAACAAAAATTTCCACAGCCAACTCCACCACTACCCACCCCCCTTTTCAAAATTCGAGAAAGTAAATTGAAAGAAAAGTTTGTGCCTAAATGTTTGTATAACTCGTAAACGCGTTATTATTATTATCAATTAGTATTTTTCTTTATGAAAATTGTACTATTTGATGTCATCACTTTAATGCAAACATTTGTGTGGTAGTCATTCACGTGAAGTGAGGAAAGTATATGGATGATGATGATGATGATGATTGTTAAAAAATGTTGTATACGCTTAAACAAATGTTATTTTAACTAAATATTTGTCTATCTATCATTTTCTATCTCTTTAAAGATGATTTACTATATAGATGAAAACAACGCGTGCCAAAGGAAACACACTTGACAGTGGGAAACACACGGATAACGTAAAATGCACGCACGCACGCACGCACACGATGATACCATTGAAAACGCGCTTAACATAAAAACACAAATAGTAAAATCCTGTCTCTCTCTTTCTTTCTTTCTTTCGTTAAGAGTATGTAAGGAAGATTTTTCATTTGGAATCAAGGGGTGTGTCAATGGGAAGGTATGTGGATGTGTGAAAATGATGATGATGATGATGATGATGATGATGATGCTCTGTTAACTACCACCGACCTGCGTGCGTCGTCGTAGCGCAAGATGAATCCTTCCAGACGATGTCGTTGGAGGTCAGCGTTCCACCGAGGAACCCGAAGATCTCGGACCTGGGCACTCGCATGCAGCCACCCTTTGAATTTTTTTACTTTTCCTTTTATCGTTCCTCTCTCACAATTGACAACATTTTGTCACGTTAAGTTTTATATATTTATTAATTATCCCTTATTTTTCTTTTAGATTTTTCCTTCTTATTCTTCTTCCTCCTCTTTCTTGTCTATTTAATTTTCTTCTTCTTATTCTTCTTCTTTGTTTTTTATCGATTTACTTGACAAGAACAAGATTAAACGTTTACCCGTGATTTCGAGTTACACGATCGATATCCACCATCTAATGAATCAATTCAAAATCACGCTGTTGTATTACGTGTATTTCCAAAAATTGTAAACGAAAGTTCACGTTAATTATATAATTAATCTATACGAATGTGTGTCAGAGAGAGAGAGAGAGAGAGAAAGAGAGATAGAATAAAACAAACAAAAAAATGTTAAATCATAAATATAAACGATCTTCGCGAAAATATATCTGATATCGTATACGAAGCGAAAAAGAAACAGTAGCAGTAGCAGCAGTAGTAGCAGTAGCAACAGCAAATGAGAAGAGACACCCACCGGTGCACGATTTTCAATAGAGTAAGAAGAATAAAGAAACAATGGTTTTAAAGGTACACTCGCACAGCTGGCCGGCAGGCGCGTAACTGAGTCCGGATCGCGCGCGTTCCTCCGATATATTAAAAGCGTAGCCGCGTGTAGAACGATGGCGGTGACGGTAGCAGAGTAGGTGGTGGTGGTGGTTGGTGGTGGTGGTGACGGTGGTGGTGGTGACGGTGGTGGTGGTGGTGGTGGTCTGTTGTATGCTTTAGCCGATATTACTGTGAGAATATGATGATAGTAGTGGTAAAGACAAGAACGTAAAAGTGGTAGTGACGAGGGTGAAGGTGGTGATGGTGGTGATGGTGGGGTTCTTGGAGAACGGCGCTAACGGTGACGTCACTGTTCTATCTTGGACGTCATAACCCGGGGCACACGCGGCCAACGGATCGATGGACCTGGCCTGGCAAGCAAGATTCCTCATTGGCCCACGCGAACGATGATGCCGTTACGGTGACGTCAGCAGGCCACCCACCACCCGCAACCCCTTCGTCCCGTTTGCGACCTAGTGCCGGCACGCGGCCCACCGACCGACTGAAACAGAGAGAGAGAGAGAGAGAGAGAGAGACGGTCCTCTTTCCTCTTTCTCACTCTTTCCCTCTCTCTTGTTCCAACTCCTCCGCTTGCTTTGAGAATATTCTGGTCCTCTTCGACGTCCACTGGCGCGGGCATTTTCTTACCGACCACACCACGGCTTTTGAATTATCGATGAAGCGATTATAAAGAGAGGAGGCTATCGAAAACCGCGCTTTTCCTTTCCTCCTCCTCTCCTCACCTCACCTATGATTTTTTTTCTCTCACCCAGCGAACTCTCCCAGCACGTGATACACGACTATCGACCCTTAAGACGATTCATAATAAGCCATGAACCTTTTCTATCTTTTTCTATCATTTACAATTATCCTAATTTCATATGATCATTTTCGAAGGATATATACACGAATGGGATAGGAAAAACAAATTGTTAAGAAGAAATTTGTTGGGTAATAATAAATGTCTCAATTGGAATATGAAATATTAATCCTGATTCTTTTGTTGTTTTGTTTTTTTGTTTATTCGGAACAACGACGATATTATTAACGCTTCCTCAAGCAACGTAACGTCGATCGATCTTCCCTGTTATGCTAAAACTTGTATTATAGTAATAGCAATAGTAGTAGTAGTGGATTTATGCTAGCCGCATCGGATGATGGCGTTCGCAAAAACCGGAAACTGTCGTTTGCGCGTGGGTAGCAAGCCCCAGTGTTCTGTGATAAAATCAAAGGAAAATACATAAAGAAAAATGAGAGGAATAAAAAAGAAAGAGAGAGAGAGAGAAAAAAAACAGACTCTTTCCGAGCAAATTGCGGGGGTGTTGTTCATACCACTACCACCACCACCACCGGTGCAACCTTCTTCATTCATGCATCGGCCGACTTAAAAGCAATGCCGCGGGCCAACCCCCGTTCCTCGTAAACACGATCTATGGGTACCAAAGCGGAGGCGTAAGCAACCGTTCGACACGTTGCCCTAGTTCGAAGATCTTCAGGAAGATGAAAAGAGAAAGAGATATTTGATTATGTCTGCAACGTTACCTGATAGTATTCAAACAGCTACGTAAACATCCAATTAAAACTAATAACGTTAAATAAAATATAATCAAAAAATAAAAGGGGGTAAATAATACTTCGTAATGTGCATTACGAATGAATAATCCAATTACAAAAAAGAAACTATATATGAAAAGATCAAATGAAATAATAAAATAAAACAACAGAGAGATCTCTGTGATACTGAGATTCATCAGCGTGTAGGAGAGAAGGCCAAAGCAAATCTTTTTCTTTCTCTACTTCTCTTTTTTATTTTTATTATTTTTCTTTCCTCGCTTTTTCTACTCCGTGGTTTTTACATCTTCCGGTATAAAACTACGAAGATAGTAATAAGAGAAGAAACGGAGGTCGAGTTCTAGCCATCGGTTCTTTCCCCTTCCAACCTCGAAACAGGTCTCCCGGCAGACGTTGTGCAAATGCGGTCCGGTTGCTGAGGCAGAAGAAGAGTTCGACGCCGATTAAAAAGTGGTTTGCCTCGGGTCGTTCCACTGACACAGTAGGGAAACGAAAGAGAAGGGGAAGAAACTAAAGAGACCTACGAGAAAGAGAGAGAAAGAGAAAGAAACCCTAAGGTGAATTTGTGCGTGAGTAGGAAATATTATGAGAGATAAAAGATTATGGGGATAAACAACAAAATATCATTTTCATTTGGAAACTTCTTTTTTCTTTCAGTTTCTCAACACTTACCACACATTTTTTTCTTCCCCCCACCCCCCCGCCTCCCGATTTGACGACATTCTCATTCGCGTTTGTTCCGATTAGAAAATTCTTTCAAGGGTCAACGGGAAGTTGATATATATATATGTAATACATATACGATCAGTTTTATAATACGCTTTGCTAATCGATAGGTGATACTGGTTATGAATATAGTCAGGATGAACTTCTAACGACGAAAGGACGTGAACATACTTATTACTGTCGGGTTAAATACCATCACGGTAAATTAAGTAATCGATAGAAGGAAAAATGTACTTTTAAAGATGAGCGTAGTTAACTACCGTAAATCTGGAATGATCAATCATTGGCCTTTCGTTGATACGCCAGCCATGAAATCATGGGAGCATGATTGAATCGTACGACGGAGAACGATGTGTCGACGATTTTTTTTTTAAAGTGAACGCATACTACGTTTAATTTTAATACTTTTCAAATTATATATTATATTTATGTTGTCGCGTTTGAGTACAACAAAATTATGAGAATAAATTTTGACAATGCACTGCACGCGTTTGCACAGCGACACGAAATTAAATGGGATGAAGTTAGTCTCGGGTATTTACGATGCGCGCGCATCGGTATGAAATTAACAGTGTGAAGTTAGTCGCGTTTGAGTAGAAAAAAATTATGATAGTAAATTTTGACAATGCACTGCACGCGTTTGCACAGCGATGCTCAAATTAAATGGGATGAAGTTAGTCTCGGGTATTTATGATGCGCGCGCATCGGTATGAAATTAACAGTGTGAAGTTAGTCGCGTTTTAGTAGCAGCTTGGTTTGATTGAGTTCCTGAACATGAAATTAAATTTAAAAACGGTGCATCAGTCGCATTGAATCAATAACAAAATCAAAAACAATAATTGACACTGTATTTTCAAGATGTTATTCTATAAATTACAAAGTTTTATAGAAAATTAAATGTTGGTAATGGATTAAATGATATCCGAAGAGGTGACATTTTGAATTGTATTAATTCCTTATACATTTCTGTTAAAGTTGCACAACAAATTATTGAATTATGTTGCAAAAATATTCAATTTTAAACACACCCATGTTTTTTTTCTAAAATATATTATATACGCATCGTCGTTATTGTTTTGATGAACAAAATATCGCACGTGACACGAAAATAACGAAGACGGGTTAATTCACCGTTACTTCTCATGGTCAAAGATGATAAAGCTGCAGTTAATAAAGTTAATACAATCGATCGAGTTATCAAGGGCATTACGAGACGATTCGAAAGTAGATTCTTTTTAGAAAATCATCGAAAATAATCGAAACAAGTGGTGGAGGTAAAATAATAGGAAGACCGATATTGGTGAATATCCAAGCAGTTTGTTTATTCGTACGTTTATTCGTTTCAGAAGAGACACTCCAATCGATTTGTTGGAGGACGCCTTCGACGATATCTCGCGACGAGTTTTTGAAGGTGAACACGCGCCTGTGATCATAAATTTCAATCGTCACCTCCTTCCCTTCCCTTCCCTTCCCTCGTAAAAGAAACAAAAAATATCTTCGAGAACGCGAGATAGTGATCTTCGTTAAAAATACGAAATAGAAATCTAGAATGGGGAATGAATAAATGAAAATTGAACCTGAATTCTAAATAAAAAAATAACACGGGTGTGTGCATGTACTTATATATGCACGTAAGAAATTATACTTCTTTCTTGGCGTATGTATTCTAACAAAACAAAAGAAGAACAATGCACTAAGTTCTGGTTATTACGCGACTAACTTCATGCTGTTAATTTCATATCGTTGTGCGCGCGCATCCTAAGTACCCGAGACTAACTTCATCCTGTTTAAATTCGTATCGCTGTATAAAAATTCATTCTCATTATTTTTTAACTCAAACGCGCCCAAAATAAGTACATTACTTGAAGAATATCTAACTTGATTACATAAAGTATATTTAAAATATTTCTAAGTAGATATAAATCGTGTAGCGTTGTATATGCAAATGGTAATAATATATCAATAGTATGCACTATATTACACAGGATAGTACCAACTAACATTGGCAAACCAATGAATAAAATCGATTAGAAATCAATGTAACTTATTTGCCAGATGTTGATGTACCAACTGGAATATTTCCGTGATAATGTTAATCAAGTAGTGACGTGTAACACGGTTTCCGCAAGTATCGTGTGATATACTAATGAAATTCAAGCTATTCCTAACGCGTTTTTGTATCGAATTATCTAACCACGATGCAAAGAGATATTATCACCGATAAGAAATAGATACTAAATACGTATAAATGCAACTTATGTATCTCTGTTAATAAATAAAATGCTTTTTAAAGATCATTGTGATTATCAATCACAAATAGTTCATCAGATTTTCGATTATATATCATAAAACGTAAACTCATCTTTGAATTAATCTAAGTGTGATGTAATATCACACCAAACAGAATTCATTAAAATAATAAAACTTTTACCTATATATATATAAATCATATTAACACATGTAACACACATTAACTTAACATTCCTAATTCTTAATAAAAAGTTTTTAAACGTTAAGTACAAATAATAAACGAAATAATAGACAAATCAAGTTGAGTGACGATTAGATCAATTGGAAAATAACACGATGGGAAGAAACGTTCGATGTATAAACAGAACACACCCCATGGAATGTTTGTTTGATCGTTACGAAAAGAATCAACAGAAATTCGTGAAGTAAAAATCAAATGAAGATGCGAATTAATGTGGAAGGATAAAAAGATAAGTACGAAAGGAAAGCGTTTAAATGGA